ACTGAGCTTAGGGGGAAAGCATTCAGTCTTTCACCATTAAATATAATGTTTTCTGTAGGGTTTTCTTGTAGTTTTTAAAAAATCTAGTCGGAAAATAAAATAAAATAAATAAATAAATAAAATCTAGTCGGAGGAGTTCTCTTCTATTGCTGTTTTTTGTAGAGTTTTATACCATAAATAGGTGCTACATTTTTTCAAATCTTTTCCTGCCTTGATAGATATGATCAGGTGAATTTTCTTCTTTAAACTATTATATGGTGGATTATACTGACTGATATTCAAATATTGAAAAATCCTTGCATCCTTGAAATAAACTCCCCTTGATCATGGTGTCTGATTATTTTTATTTATTTTATTCTACTTTATTTATTTATTTATTTTGGTGGCTGGCTGGTACAGGGATCTGAACCCTTGACCCTGAAGTGATTATTCTTATATACTGAAGAATTTTATTAGCTAATATTTTGTTAAGAATTTTTTCATCTGTATAAATTAGGCATATTGGTCTATAGTTTTCTTTCTTTCTTCTTTTCTTTTTGTGTTCATATTTGTAGTATGTTATCTGGTTTTAGCATTGGAGTAATACCAACTTCACGAAATGAACTGGAAAGTGTCTCCTCCTCTTCTATTTCCTAAAATTCTTTAAATGTTTGATAGGATTCTCCAGTGAAGCCATCTGGGCTATCAGATTTCTTTTTTTGGAGTCTTAAAATCACACATTCAATTTCCTTAATAATTACAGGAGTACTCAAATGATCTATTTCACATTGGGCAAGTTGAGGTAGTTTGTGATTTTTGAGGAATTGGTCCTTTCATATAATTGTCAATTTTACATGTGTAGAGTTGTCTGTAGCATTCCCTTATTATTATTTTGGTATCTTTTAGTAATATTCTAGTAATATTTCATGTTTCATTTCTGATATTGGCAATTTGAGTGTTCTGTCTTTTTTTCTTTGTCAGTCTTGCTAGAACTTTGTCACTTTAATTGATATTTCCAGAAAATTCAGCTCTTTGTTTCATTGGTTTTCTCTATTGTTTTTCTTTTTTAAATTTCATTGATTTCTGCTCTTTATTATTTCCTTCATTGTAATGCTTTGGATTTTTTTTTTGGCAGTTGGCTGGGGATCTGAACTCTTGACCATGGTGTTACAACACCATGCTCTAACCAACTGAGCTAACCAGCCAACCCATATTTTACTCTTTTTTTTTTTTTGACACTCATTTTATTTTATTTTTTAACTTTAATAATATATTTTATTTAACTCAATATACCCAAACATCAACATGTAGTCAAGATAAGAAAATTATTAATGAGATATTTTACTTTCTTTTTCCTACTACCTCTTCAGAATCCAAAGTATATCTTATACTTACAGCACATCTCAATTTATTTACTTTTAAATTTATTTATTTATTAATATTATTACTTTTTGCATTCCAAAATGTTGTTGCAGAGCAGTTGGGGGGCAAGAGGGAGAGGGGAAGAGGGAAGGAAATAGGGTGGGAGGAGTAGGAAGGAGGGAGTTTGGTCAAGGCCCATGGTACCCCCCTCATTCCAGCAGGGGAGACCAGGGGGTTTCTGGCAGCAGCTTAGTGATCAGCACTGGGCTGGTTGCAGATGTCAGAGGGGCATGGCTGAGGCAGCTGGCCCCCCACCACCCTGGCTTGGGAGCCCTGGGCGCTTCCTTTGGTGACTTGGTGGTTGTCACTGGGCTGGTTGCAAATGTCAGAAGGGGGCATGGCTGAGGCCCTTGGCCCCCCACTGCCCAGGATCGGGAGCCTGGGGTGCTTCCTGTGGCAGCTAGTGGTCATCTTTTACTCCTTTTAAATAGGTTCTGGAGATGGGAGCTTAGATTATTAATTGTGACTTTTCCTCTTCTAATGTTTGTATTTAGTACTATAAATTTCCCTCTCAGCACTGCTTTAACAGTGTCCTAAAATTTTTGATGTGTTGAATTTTTATTTTTATTTCTTCTAATGTATTTTTGTTTCCCTGAGACTTTCTCTTTGACCTATGGTTTATTCAGAAGTATGTTTTTTAGTTTCCAATTATTTAATATTTCCCCATTATCTTTCTGTTACTGACTTCTAGTTTGATTCCATTGCTGTTGAAGAACATACTCTACACATTCAATTTCTTTAATAATTATAGGAATACTCAAGTGATCTATTTTACATTGGGTAAGTTGGGGTAGTTTGTGCTTTTTGATTGGTTCTTTCAAATAACTTGTCAAATTTAAGTGTGTAGAGTTGTCTGTAGCATTCCCTTATTACTATTTTGATATCTGCAGGATGTATAGTAACATGATTTCAATTCTTTCAAATTTGTTGAGGTTCATTTTATGGCCCAGCATATGGTCTATTTTAGTATATCTTCCATGAGCACTTGATATGAATGTATATTCTGTGTTGTTGAGTGAGATGTTCTATAAATGTCAATTATATCCTGTTGGTTGATGCTGTTGTTTAGTTTTCCTATATCCTTGCTGATTTTATGTCTAGTTGTTCTATTAATTGTTGAGAGAGGGATATTGAAGTCTTCAACTATAATTGTGGATTTGTCTATCTCTCCTTTCATTTCTCTGTTTTTGCTGATATTTGTGTTCCTTTGTTCTTCTTTGTTTATATTATAGTTGTCTTTAAATATTTACTCTGCCTACATTTAGAACCACAACAGTATTACAATATTTTCTTCAATCATCAAACATAATTTAGAAAATTCAAAAGAAGAAGAAAAGTCTATTGTATTAACCCATATTTTTGCCTACCATTTTCTTTCTTCTTTCCTGATGTTCCAAGTTACCTTTTAAAAAAAAACTTTTCTTTTCCATTTAAAGAAATTTCAACTTCTTTTAGCCATTTTTTGGGATAGGTATGCCAGTGAAATTCTCTTAGTTTTCCTTCATCTGAGAATGTCTTGATTTGCCCTTTATTCCCCAAGAATATTTTCACTGGATATAGAATTCTGGGTTGACAGTTCTTTTCTTTTCAACTTAAAAAATGTTGTGCCATTTCCTATGGTTTCTGATAAGAAATCCACTGTCATTAAAATAGTTTTTTCCTTGTAGGTAAGATGCTGTTTCTCTCTGACTTCTTTCAATATTTTTTCTTTGTCTTTAGCTTTCAAAAGTTTGACTATAATGTGTCTTAATGTGGGTTTCCTCAAGTTTATATTCTTTGGGGGATGGTTCACCTTCTTGAATCTGTAGCTTTATATCTTTCACCAAATTTGGATATAAAGCCATAATTTCTTGTGTACCTTTCCAGACCCAGCCTCTTTCTCCTCTCCTTTAAGGACTCCAGGGACATGAATGTTAGATCATTTGTTATAGTCCCACAGGTCTGTAACACCCTTCTCATGTGTGGTTTTTTGTTGTTGTTGTTATTTCCTCTCTATTGATCAGATTAGGTAATTTCTATTGTTCTGTTTTCCAGTCCACTAATTCTTTCCTCTGTCCTTTCATTCTGTCATTGAGCCCATCCATTGAACTTTTTTTTTTCAGTTATTATATTCACTAATTCTTTCCTCTGTCCTTTCATTCTGTCATTGAGCCCATCCATTGAACTTTTTTTTTCCAGTTATTATATTTTTCTTTCTTTTTTTCCTTTTTGTCTTTTTTCATGACCGGCAACGGGATCGCAACCCTCGGTGTCGCGCCCGCACCGTGCTCAACCAGTGAGCGTACCGGTCTCTATATGGGATCCGAACCCTCAGCGGGAGCGCCACCACACTCCCAAGCACCGCACTCTACCGAGTTTGCCACCGGGCTGGCCCAGTTATTATATTTTTCAGTTCTAAAATTTCCACTTGGTACTTCTTTATATGTTCTGTATCTCTGCCGAGACTCTATTTCTTTGCTGAGACTTTATATTTTTTCAGTTGTTTTGTTACAGAACCTAGAGCATTCAGCTCCTGACTTGGCTTGCCAAAATCTTGTTACTGAACCCAAGTCTGGCTGCCTGCCCCAAACAAAAACAAGTGACCCAAAAGTCAAATTGTTGGTGGAATAGGAAGCTAGCTTTATTCAGGAATACTGGTAACCTGAGGGAGCTGTTAGGCTAACCCATCTCCCCAGTAAACCTGAAGGAGATGACCAAACTAATACCATCTCAAAGACTCAGATTTAGTGAGGGTGTTTTAAAGAGAGGGTTGAGAGAATGGAATGTGGGAAATGAAAAGTAGGAATGAAGGTGATATGTAATAGGCAAGGTGCGAAATCTTGCCAAGTTTCCATCTGGCTTCTGTTTTCATCCTTGATGTTATCATATATCAAAATCCTTCAGGATTTTGATCTGCTTCAGGGTAGAATCAGCACAGCTTTATTGATGTCCTCCTTGGCTTCTCAGGGTCTGGAGAGTACCTGTCTCATGGCAAGTTTGCAGCTTCAGACTGACTGGAAAACAACTTTACATTTATGTGCTCTGTGCATCTGAGCTCATGTCAGTGCTGCCTTCCCTTCAGGTTTCAGGCTTCAGAGGGAAAGTGTGCTTTTACCCTGTGCTTCCGAGGTGTTTCCCAAACACACGCTCACAGGCGCGTTCCCGGATCAACACCCTCCAAGTGAAGTGAGGACAGAGCAGATCATCACTGCCCCAGCGGCACACGGCCTGTGGAAGGCCAGCAGATGAAGTCAGAGGAGGCCATGGTCTAATACCAGGGCACTTTAAAAAGTTCACAGAGAAACGGAATTAAAAGATAATGCAAACCTTTCCATAAACTTTTTTTTTTTTTAAATTTATTTTTGGTGGTCGGGCAGTACAGGGATCGAACACCGGACCTCAGTGTTACCAGCACCACACTCTAACGACCTGAGCAAACCGGCCAGCCCTCCATGAACTTTTTAAAGATCCATCATGTAAGTATCTCACTGAATTCTTTCAAAATCCTCCTGTTGGCTTGGTTAGAAGAAATTTCCCCTAAATCTTATCTTTTCTTCTGCAACCAGGCTGCACAGAGTAGGAAGGATGGAAAACAGACACAGGCACTCTTTCATTCCGGCTCAGCCGGGTCTCAGCCTGCTCTGGGCATCCGGGTGGACCCGACCAGCAGCAGCAGAGCCTGGTGGGCAAGGGCAGACTGTCAGAACCTAACCGGAGGCCGCTTTTCTTTCTCTTTCTTTTGGTAAGTGATTACAACTGGGAAGCCAAACAGATTCTTACAGGGCTCTCAGGAATAACCAGTCCCACCCCCTCCATGTTACAGAGTGGGAACTGTGGGGAGGGAGTAGGATCTGTCTGTGTTCCTCCCCAGAAATCATTCTGATAGAGGCAAAACTGACCTTAACTTACCTTTAGGGTGTCGCGATAGCACCGTGACAAGAGACGGGGAAGCGTAGGGAAAGTAGGTCTTCAGTGCAAACTTCGGCTGCAATAGGATCAAAAATCGAAAACAGCATGAACGTCAGGACTGGAGGGAGTGCCAGGAAAATACAAAATCCTGCCCCTTCTGCCCAGAAAAAGACCTACCAGTACTAACCTGGTCAGAACATTTTCTTTCTTTCTTTTTTTTTTAAAGATGACCGGTAAGGGGATCTTAACCCTGGACTTGGTATTGTCAGCACCACGCTCACCCAGTGAGCCACGGGCCAGCCCCAGAACATTTTCTTGAACATTTAAAAAAAAAAAAAAAAAAATGCTTCCAGTAGCCTTATAAATATTTTCCAGAATAATGAACCTTTTAAAAGTCACCTTCTAGGACTTAAGAAAAATAAAGTTATGCCCCTGATGTCTTTATATGAGTTCTTTACCTCCCATGAACCCAATTATACACATAAGCCTTCTATTTCAGTGGCTTGCCAAAGCAATTGTGAGATGTTAGCTCTTTCATATGGGTTTTTAGCAAGAACAAAAGCATAAAACCGCCAGGCTACTCACAAAATCCGAGGGCCAAGGAGCTACAGCTCTCTATGCCCCTAAAAGGCACAGAAGCTGTGAAGCACTTTTTTAAGAATTTGAGGTAAAACTTAGAAAGCATGAAGTGCATAGGCTTTTAGTATACAATTTGGTGAGTTTTGGTAAACGTGTAAATCCATGTGACAATCACCCCAGTCGAGACATAACATTTCTGTCACCCCAGAAACTTCCCATGACTCTTCCTCCTCCTCACCCCAGCAACAAATATTTTTTTTTTTTTCCTTTTTTCGTGTCTGGCAACGGATCGCAACCCTCAGTGTCGCGCCTGCACCGGACCGGGACCGGCAACGGGATCGCAACCCTCGGTGTCGCTCCCACACCTCGCTCAGCCAGTGAGCGGGAACCGGTCTGTATGTGGGATCCGAACCCTCGGCAGGAGCGCCACCGCACTCCCAAGCAGCGCACTATAGCAGTGCGCCACCGGGCCGGCCCCCAGCAACAAATATTTTGATGTCTGTAAGAGAGACGGCAGGAGCGCCACCGCACTCCCAAGCGGCGCACTATAGCAGTGCGCCACCGGGCCGGCCCCCAGCAACAAATATTTTGATGTCTGTAAGAGAGATTAGTTTCGCTTATTCTTGAATTTCATGTAATTAGAATCGTAGAGTATGTACTCTTTTGTGCCTGGATTCTTTGGTTCAAAATGTCTAAGATCCATCCGTGTTACTGAGCATGAGTCACTCAGTCCTGGTTGCAGTTCAGAAGCAGTCACAGTCTGAGCACACCGTAACCTGTTGTCCATTCTCCCACAGATGGCACTTGGTCGTTTCCAGCTGGGGCTGTTACGAACAAAGCTGCAGTTACCGTGCACACCTGCATCTCTCTGTGGATGCCTCTCCTGGGTGACATCACAGGAGCCGGCTCACGAGGTCACACAGTGGACGCTTGTTTAACTTCGCACGGCCACAGTCACGCGGTGGCTGTGGCATTTCGCACTCCCGCTGCGATGAGTGTGAGCCCTGCTTTTCCACGCACCTGCAAGTGTCTGCTGTGTCTGCCTCACCAGCCGTCACCGTCGCAGCGGGCGTGTGCCACTACCTCCTGCATGCTTTGCTAGTGTCCTCCTGATAGCAACTGATGGTGGACAATTTTCATGTGTTTGCTCCAACATAACTAATTTTTCTGAAGTGTGTATTCTTTTGTCCATTTTTTAAATCAAGTTGTTTCTTATGGAGTTGAAAGAGACATTCATATATTCTGGACACAAGTCCTCTGTCACATATATGTACTGCAAATATTTTCTCCCAGCTGGTGGCTTGCTTTTTCATTTTCTTAATGGTGTCTATCAAAGAACAGATGTTTTAAATTCTGATGAAGTCTAATTTATTCATTTTTCTCATATGGTTAGTGGGATTTTTTGTTGGTTTTTTTTTTTTGGCATCTCTTCAAAAAAATCCTCAATTACCCCAATCTCAGAATAGATATTCTCCTACATTTTCTTCTAAAAGCTTTATAATTTCAGCATTTACGTTGAGTCCCATGAGCCATCTTAAATGAACTTCTGTGTGCTTTGTTGAGGTACAGGTTGGGCTTCATTTTTCTCCACATGTACATCCAGTTACTCCAACACCATTTGTTGAAAACTCTCCCTTCCGCACCGAGTTGCCCTGACCACACGTGGATGGGTCTAGGTGCGGATTCTGTTCTGATCTATGTCTGTCCTTTTTCCAGTACCTCACTGTCCTGATTACTGTAGTTTTAAAGTCTTGAAATCAGGTAATGTGAAGTCTTCTGCTTTTGTTTTTCAAAATTGTTCTGCTATGGTAAGCCCTTTGCACGTGCACGTAAGTTAGAGTCAGCTTGTCGTTCTCTACTGTAGAAAGCCTGCTGGGATTGGGACTGGGGTCGCACTGAAGACACAGTTCACTTGCAGGGAGGACAGACACCTGAGCAGTTCCTGAATACGGTTTCTCTCTCATTCTATTTAAATCTACTTTAGTTTCTCCCAGCAACGTTTTGTAGTTTTCAGTTAGAGATCTTATACACGTTTTGTTAAACTTATTCCTGAGTATTTTATGTGTGACAGTGAATTTGTCCTTTCCTTCCTTTCCTTCTGTCAGGTTTTGCTTCATGCATTTTGAAGCTCTGTTATTAAGCACATACCCACTCCTAACTAACTGGCCGTTCTGTTGTTATGACACGCCCCTCTCGGATCTACCCCTGGGCATACTCACAGTCTTGACGTCTACCTCGTCTTCTGCTAATAGAATCACACGGGCTTTCCCGTGCTTCTTATTCGCACGGTGTGTCTCCTTCCTTTTACTTTCGACCTACCTATGTCTTTACAATTAGAATGGGTCTCTTGAAAACAACACATAGTTGGGTCTTGGCTTTTTATTTGATCTGATATCTCTGCCTTTTTACTAGAATATTTAGTTAATTTTCAATTAATTTATTTTGTAATTAACTGGTATGTTAGGGTTTAGGTCTATCTTCTAGTATCGGTTTTATCTCATCTGTTTTATTCTTTTTCTTTGTTCCTCTGGCAGCCACAGTCTTCCTTTTGTCTGACCCTTAAGTCAGTCAGACGGTGCCTTGAGCTCCAGCCCCCCAGTCACCCTCCCTCAAGAGCTGTCGGGGAAGCAGAAGACTGCTCAGTGTGGTTTACTGTTCAGAGGCTGAAGTCCCTCCCGTTTCTGTCTGCTTTTTGCTCCCTAGCACCTTCAAATAAATTTTTAAAAATATTTTCCCCAGAGTTTATCATTTTCATCTGTGGAAGATTTAGTCTAGTCCAGTGTCAGACTGTGCCACTGCAAGAACCAGAACCTGGCCTGCTCGCTGTCTGTGCTGGGACACCAGGCAGCCTAGGGAAGGTGGTGGTTATGCCAACCTCAGGTTTTGCCTACTGTCCAACGGGGCACTCTGATGGAGCCGCACTGTGCTCCCCAAATAGAACAGGGGCGAAAGAAAAGGAAAAAGAGAGAAGGGGAATCCCTGAAGGTGAGCGCTCCCACAGTGGAACGTCTGTGGGTTACGGTGGGACTGCGCAGGGCACCAGCACTTTCAGAGCCAGTTTGGCAGATCTGCTGAAGCTGAACCTCTGTGTGCCTAATAACCAAGCTCCTCTACTCCTAAGTATCCATCGCAGAACATCCAGAGCAACACTGTTTGTAACAGAAAACCAAATCTGGGAACAACACAAATGCCCACCAGTACTTCACCAGAGCCACACCGTGACATGAGGGAACCTCTGTCATGTGCTGAGTGGAAAAAGTAAGTCTCAAAAGACTATACACAGTATCCTACTCTTGTTTGTTTTATAAAGTGCAAAAATAACCAAAACTAAACAAAACATTGTTTAGGCAGTCGTATAAATGTGATCAAACTATTTGGAAAAAAAGCAAAGGAATACTAAACATAAAACTCAAGACAGTGGTTATCTGGAGGGAGGGAGGCAGGGGACAGGGCAGAGGAGGAGCACACAGATGGGCGGAGGCTCTCAACTCTGCTGGCCCAGGGCTTGTTGAGACGTTGGGTTCACAGACGGACATCTTATAAAATATGAATGAATGCATGCATGAATGAATGAATGAATAAAACACAGAAAGGATAGAGGATCATGCCTGGAACAAATGGGACAGGGTGTTAAGCACCAAGGATCATGATTAGTCTAAAAACCGGCACTCAAGAAGGCAGGAGGTCAATAAACGAGAGCAGCCACCATTAAAAAGGCAGGCAGTCAGGACCAGCTCCAGGAAGGGACATGAAGTAGCCGACGTACACGAAGGCATCTGCAAGGGCACTTTCTTGTTGAGTTGAAGGTGAGGGGGAGGCATTCCCGTTTCTTTTTGGATCCCTGTCCTGCCTCACACCAGGACTCAGTGTGTGGCCCCACACCCCTGGACACATGTCGCCTGGTCAGGGTACTACTGTACATTAAAAGCCACTGCTCCTCCAGTCCAAAGCCACAGTGAAGCCCAAGGCCGATACAGAGACTCAGCGCAAAGCTGAGAAGAAAAGCAGACTCAAGCTGATGCTGAAGAGCAAAACCACGTCCCCAGCGGCCTCGGCCCCAGCCAGTGTGCTCTAGGAGGCCAGGGTGAGGTTCCCTAGAGATCAGTTCCTGCTTGCGAATACAAAGAATGTACAAGGGAGGATAAAAGGTAATTACAGCTATGCCTGAAAATAGCTAAGGGCCAGCCAGTGCCTTTCAGCTGAGCTCTCCTCCCAAATTCCAGGCTGGGTACCACTGATAACGGTGTTTGTTATGGTCTAGCTAACTTCCCCAGGGAAAGAGAGGATGGGAAGAAAGAAATCGTAAATATTTGTCATTGCCTCAAAAAGAGGTTTCCACTAAAACCTGAGAGGTTTCTTTGGCACAAGGCTGCGAGGGGTGCAGTGGCGCTGAGCATCGTAGCCCCGCTCTCACTAGTCTAACTGCAGAAGCATCACAAGGGACCATGACGTCCTTCAGGGGCAGAGGCAGCGGACCAGTGCCACTGTGAACAGGCAAAGCACCACATAAACGTCAACATGAGAAATGAAGGCCAGTTAAAATGCCCACAGGCGAAAGCTGTCCAGTAGCAAAAGTTCCTGTCTCATGTGGCCCTCGGCTGCTGTTTCCAGGCCCCTGCTGACGGGCGCTGGCACGCAGGCCCCCCTGCAGGACCCACGCCTGGCCTCTGGTTTACTGATGGCATCTGACATACACTTCTCGGTCACCACCACTTCCCAATTCCAGTACAACTTTCACATCTTTGCATGTCATTCCCACCACCTTCTCTTCTCTCCTGGAATCCAATTCACATTTGGGTCTCTGACAGGAATAAAGACGCTAATCATGAATGATATCCAGTCATGCTTTGTAATAAATGGCATTTCCTACTTAGCACATCCATACAGACCCCACGATGCTGACTGCTGGCCTGGGATGGTCAGATGCCACCAGAAGGGTAGAGTCCTGCTTGGCAGACGGCATACAGCACAGGGACAGGAAGATTCATCCTGAGGTCGACACAGGCTGGCAGGACAGAGTTTTCAGACAATAGCAGACAGGTGCTTCTGGTATGAGGGCATGGGGTGGACAGAGCCATCCTGTCATATTTTCAATTACAGTCCTACGTCACTTAATGACAGGGACACGTTCTGAGAAACGCACTGTTAGGCGATTTCAACGTTGGTCAAATATCACAGAAGTGTACTTACACAAACCTGGATGGCACAGCCTGTCCCACACCGAGGCCACGTGGTACAGCCTATGGCTTTTATGCTGCAAACCTGTGCAGCACGTCACTGTACTGAATACTGTAGCAACTATAACACAATGGTACTTGTGTATCTAAACATATCATTGAAAAGGTACAGTAAAACCAGTTATAAAAGATAAAAGGTGGTACAGCTGTGCAGGGCACTTACCATGAATAGAACTGGCAGGACTGGGGCCGGCCCGGTGGCGCATTGCTACAGTGCGCCGCTTGGGAGCGCGGCGGCGCTCCCGC